TGTCTGTATGTTGTTAGCTGATTTGGCTTGATGATGTTCTTTACTGATACAAACAACTACCCAAGAAGGAGAAACACGCAACAGCAGAAATTCATGTCATATTGAAGAACTATTAGCGAGAAGTTAAATGTGAATGCTCCAATACAATTACAAGTACTACCTGGCCATCTGGGGTGAAGCAAGTAGCAGTGACCATTTCATGAAGATCAGTCCAATCTACAACTTTCCGATCAGGTATATTCCAAAGCCGAACCTTTGCGTCCAGAGAACCGCTGATGAAGTAGTCATCATCCATTGGATTGACCTGTATGCAAGTAACTGCCAAACCATAAACTCAATAGATGCAAGTGATGGGAAGAAATCATTATTTAAAGTCTTCTATTAACTAGCTACAATGTAATTTGGCATCTCACCATAGTCGTTATGCGCGAACATTTTTAAGCAACTCTGAGTTTCAACATCCCATAGCCGAACAGTCTTGTCTATCGAAGATGAAAGAAGTAGCTGCATCCAAGTTTGATATTGCATGTTAGTATGTATGTTTTAAAAGTGATACTACCTCCATCCCAATTTATATGATGGTGTTTAACTGGGCACGGAGTTTAAGAAAGAAAAAAAGACTTTTGAAATTTGTGGTCTAAAATAAGTCATAGATATTTATATGGCTATAAATCATCTCATTAAGGGCAGAGTAGGCATTATAAAGTTAAATTATTACTAAATATAGAAAGATGTTATTCTTTTTGAGACCGACTAAAAAGGAAAGACTGTCACATAAATTGGGATGCATGGAGTAGTAGATAGTACTCCCACTGTCCCAATTTATGTAATGGTGTTTGATTGGGCACGGAGTTTAAGAAAAACAGGTAGTCTTTTGAAATTTGTGGTCTAAAATGAGCCATAAAAGTTTGTGTGGCTTTAAATCATCTCATTGAGGGTAAAGTGAGCATTTTATGGTTAAATTGTTACTAAATGGGACTAACCAAAAAGGAAAGAGTGTCACATAAATTGGGATAGAGGGAGTACTTGATTTGTTTGCAGTAACTATAACTTATTTGGGGGTGGGGGGTGGGGGTTCAAATGGAGTATCAAGTTTGATATTTCTGTTGTTTCATTTTCTCCCTGCTACAAATTTGTGTCATATTTAGTTAACTGAAATGAAAGTGCAGGAAACTGACCTGAGATCTTGACCAAGACAGGTCCAAGACATCATCCTGGTGACCTTTAAGAGTGCATACTGGTTTCTCTGAAAGAGCAAAAACAGTTTCTGGTACATTGACGTACTCCGGAAT